CCTATTTGTTTGGGTCCACAATTCAAGAACCCTTTATAGTCTTTCCTTTGCCCATGTTTTCAGACACTGCTATCTCTAGAACACAGTCATTTCATTATTCATGTCCACATTTTGCCTCTAGCACAGCAAAGAGAAGGTGAAGATAGGCTCTCAGTAATATTGCCTTTTACAGATGTGAGTCCTTTTTTTCTATCAAAATATTAAAAGCAGATTTCATTGGATCTCTGTAGTGTAGGAGTTAATTTTTAACCTAACAGCATACGTAATTGGCAAACTAATGGCTATGACGTATTCGATTAACAAAGCTGGGCACTTGCAGCAACATTACTATTGCGTAATGGTTTATCTGTATTAGTGCGTAAGAATTGAGAACTATCCATTGCTTCAACTAGTGTTATTAGTATATTCTGGTCAGATGTATGCCTCCCTGTTTATATCCATCCTAACTAATGAACACTGAAATTTTTATATTATCTCTAATTCAGGATTTATAAGACATGATATGCCTCCAATCACAGGGCTCCAAAACTGAAATGATGTTGAAATTGCTACCTCTCACACTGTAATCAATTACCATTATACCAAGCTAAGAAAACATCAATTATTCTTATTACTTGTCATTGTTTGTTTTTTTTCTGTCAAATATGCAACATGAATCAACTTCAGATTTCATACTAACACTTTTTGCCCTTTTCAAGTGTTTTCCAGGGTTTCCTTATTTGTTTTTGATAAAATGATCTGTTATTCATCTCTATATCTCAATAGCTCAAACAGAAAATTACACATACAAGTGAATAAATCAGAGCAGTGACACACTCCAGTTCTTTCAGATGTCTGCTTACCAGGTTTCAGAGACAGATAGGTTGATTTACTAAAGGCAAATAGATTGTTCACCTTGCAAGGAAATGATGGGGTGTTCTTTGCAAAGTGAAACTTCACTACATTTAGCAAGCTGTGGGGAAAATTCCCTTGCAAAGTGACCAGCCTTCTGCCTTTAGTAAATCAACCTCAGAGTGTCTGCAAGGGAACTGCTTCTTCCGTGTTCACTCTTTTGTTCAAATCTTTTGTCATGAATGTGTTCAGGGCCCAAGTTCCATTACTAGAACATGTAAGCACACAAATGGCTAAAAATCATATAATAATGCACTATTAAACCCTAAGTTCACCCATTCATCTACTGGGTTTGCTCAGTAATTCCTTTGCAACATTTGTTAACTAATCACGTTTAAACTTCTACAATGTTCTATTCAAAAACCGAAAACAAGAGCCAACCGTATGAAGATTAAGCGATAGTCTTACAACTACAAGTGACAGGCATGTAATTTTCAGAATTATGTTTTTTTATTTTATTTTACCTGGCAATCAGAACTTTTTATACACAAAAACCCAAGGAAAATCTGGGAGTGGCTATAAATTACTATTATGATGCCTACAACCCTATGTATCATCAAGGGGAGGCGTCTCCAAAAATAGCATACAGACAAACAAAAGGACATGACACCTACAAGAGGCTACCATAAATTCTTTATAAAATAATAACCAGTAAACAGACCAGGGTTGTACCCCCACCCATAAGTCTTCTCCCTATTGCCCCCTCCCCACACACTCCCCTAATCCCACTCCCCTATCTACCCACCCCCCCAGAAAAATATCCTCCCAACACCCCCCCCCCCCCAAGGGTATTAGCCCTACTTCTCTTGCATGAGCCAACTATATGGTTCCAACTATGCAAACAATTACATAATTCCTATAATCTAATTGTAGCCATGATAATGCCCAAAACCATGCCTGATACTTTAAGTCCTCCTAACAGGCCATATAGCCAGCTCATGTGGAAGACGTAGGGCCAGTCCCTTAACATGGGGTGTGTAAGGGTTTTATTGGGAGGATAGTTTTCTGGGGGGTATATAATGTACTGAGATTAGGGGAGTGTGTGTGTATGGTGGGAGATGGGGAGAGGACTTATGGGTGAGGATACTACCCTTGTCTGTTTACCTGCTTTTATGTCCACTACATTTTATTAATATTTTATTAATATTATTAATATATTATTTTGTTAATATATTATTCATATTTCATAAAGAATTTGTGGTAGCCTCTTGTAGGTGTCATATCCTTGGTGTTTTTTGTAATCAGAACTTTTTGCATCCTTTTCCACAGTTCACCATATCCTCATATACTTGTGTCATCAGGAATGATGGCAAGGAGCAGGCCAGGTTCCTTCCCACCCAGCTGAGCATCAGTCCCCTGTTTCAAAGCGCCTATCTCCCACCCAGCTTGTCTTCTAGTTCAGTGTACCTCATCCCCACCTTGCCCCCCCATCAGTGTCTCCATCTCACCCCTCATACTGTCACAGCATCTTCACCCAATGTCATCCTCCCACTCAAAATTGTATCCTCCCCACCCACTTCAATTCATAGCTCACATCACCTTCCACCCACCTTGCCCTGCAGTATCTTTATCCCACTTCACCCCCCCTTCAAAGTTCTCCCTCCCCATCGACCTTGGCCCCAAGTCATGGTGCTTACCACCCGCTCCACTCTATAAACTTACCAGTTCTAGCTGTCACACGAACGTATGCTACTAAAAATATAAAACTACTACATAATAAATGCATCTAACCTCATCTATGAAACATCAGGTCTTCCAGCATGGACTTTCACCACACAGGGCTGCTCCTGTTCACTTTATATATAAGCTCTAGTTCACCCTGGCTGCCATAGAGGAGACGAGATGAAGTTCTTGCTCATATGAAATGTTGGCTAACATGCTGGACTCACATTAACCCAGACTTCCCTCTCATCCATCCCTGCCCCTTGCCATGAAAACAGCTTTCCTAATACTTCTTCATCAATGAGCAAAAGAGTATAACTGCCATCCCACCACCTATGGGCCAGTTTACATTGTTGTGGTTTACTAAAGCACATGCTGTAAAATGTATTTTTTTATATGTTACATAAAGGCATCTCATTTCTTTTAAATGGGCTGATAATGCATCGCAATGCACAAAAAATTCACCTACATTATTTTTTCCAATGCAGCACACCACAGAGTGCTCATATTTTTGCATTGTGTGCGCTGTGGCACAGGTGTGCACTCACTTAATTTATATGTGAGTTGGAGTGCCATTTAAATGAATGGGGGCATACATTTATACCCACACGTTACTTGAAAGTGCTTCTAAAGGTTCAATTTTTTTTTCTTAAAAATAACAAATATGTCATACTTACATGCTCTGTACAATGGTTTTGCATAAAGTATGCCCGATCCTGCTCTTCTCAAGTCCTTTGCTTCTGGGCCCCCCCTTGCCAAGTGTCCCCAGAGCAAGCTGTTTGCTCTGGAGGCGCTCGCACATGCTCGCTCCCTAGCTGGCTCTGTGTGTGTAAGGGATACACAGAGCATTGCTCAGTCCCACCTCCCTATTCCTCCCCACTGGCTGTGACTGACAACAGTGGCAGCCAATGGCTGCATCTCAACCAATGAGGAGAGAGAGAACCAAGAGAGCAGCAGCTTATGTGCACATCGCTGGATCAAGAGGGAGGCTGCGAGGGGCTACACACTGAACATTTTTTACATTTATTCATAGAATGCATGAAGATAACAAAAAAACCTTCATCCTTTACAACCACTTTCATACACATATATGAATGCAATCTGAGAAAGAGGGCTGGGCTGGCAGTTCACACATATCCTAGATTTCAGTCAAAGAGCAGTTGTTTGCCTGAAAAAAAAAAACTATGTATCAAAGTCCCTGGAGACTTTCAATGGGTCTGATGTTATAAAGGTGGTAGTCACAGTCACATAATTTTCAAGGGCTTCAGATAATTACATTCAAATAAATTGCTCTACCATTACAACTAAAACAGTTTAATTGGTTGTATGTAGTCATTTAGACAGCTCTTCATTTTAAAATAATGCTTTTAATTAGATCTGAGCTCTTCTTTGCAGGAAACTTGTACCCAGAGAAATGTAGGGCTGTCATTGCTGATCTCTTTCTAAAATATGTGTTGCTTGGCTGTCCCTGCCTGAAATATTTGAAATTATTGACCTGGAAAACGAACCTGCACATTAGAAAGTCAGAATTCTTGATCCATAATCATTCCAAGTCTGTTACTTATTAAATATTAACGCAGAGCTAGCATCAGATCAGATATTCTTTACATTTTAATTACATGGATGCTAAATATTTATACAACTGTAACATATGCATGCTGTTGAAGCCTCTCATCTTGTGACTGCTACAAAAGTGCAATGTTGCAGTTTGATCACTGAGGTGGGGGAGGCTGAGGAAATACTTCCTCCTGCCTGCAGCAGACTGATGACATCTTCTGAGCCTAGGCAAAGTTACTAGACTGGTGCTCAAGGAAGGCTTTAAAGGCACTCATTTTATAAATTAATGAACAATTTTACTGTTGCTGTATATTGTGACATATCATAAATGTATTGATGTTGAAATTTTCTACAAGGTACAGTTTAAAGTGTATGTACGCCCTATCAATGCCCGCTTTCTATTTGCTCTCTTTTGGTCTGTTAGATGCACCATTGAAATCATTTTGCTGTATATTTTCAGCGCAAAAATTACCCATGGATCCTGCCACAAATCCAGTGAGCTATGATATTGAGATGAGGAGAAGAGAGATGCTCTGCAGTCCTAACACACTTCCTGTACTAGGGTGACAACAGTGTTCCTCCATAGATACACTACAGTGAGTGAGCATGCTACTGCAAGGGCTGCTAAGCTGCAGTATATAGTACATGTTTGTTCTTGGATTTAAAGTGTTTCTAAACCCACAACAGTAAAATCAGTCTGTTTATGCAGTAGAGCATGCTTGCTATACTCAATGTGGAACCTAAGAGGTTATTTTTCCAGATTGTATGAAAAGGCCGTTTTTTTTTTCTGCCCCTCCTCTTGTTCAAATGCCTACATCTTATTTCCTGATAAGACAAACTGAACCCGTAGCCACATGAACATGCTCAGTTTAGTTTATATTGCTAGAGAGTTTTTTTTTTCTTGGGAGAGTGCATGTGATCAGCACAGGGCCAATCAGCACTGTTCAGGCAGAGGGTCAGGGGTTTTGCATCCTCCTAGAGCAGAAAGAAAACTCTTCCTACAAGTTTTAACCAGTTCTCTGCTGAAGTCACAAGACTGCTGTAACTGCTGATGAGAAAAGGCATTTAGCAGTTTATATTTACTAAAATAATTGAATTTCCATGTTCTGTGTACTGTGGGAGACCATATATAGTGAGTGCAGGGTCCTGGGTTTAGTAACATTTTAAACATAAAGCAACTAAATTAGTATGACAGCTAAACAGCTAGCATCTGTAAAAGCAGAGGTCAACAATGGAAATCTTTCAACACAGTCAGAGAAGCTGGAACAGGACCTGGTATGGCAATTTTACATTACAATCCAAAATGTAACAAATTAATTTTCATATTTGTTGCATCTAGGGAGGATTTCAATTATGTTCCTAAGAGCTTGCATCTGAATGTTTATACCTATGTTCTTATATGTTTGACCTACAGCAGAAAAAAATTAATCTAATCTTTAAAAAGCGTTAACATTATATTCAATGTAACATTTCATTTGTTTCAGATGCACTGAAAAGTAAAATGTGCTTTTAAAACATGTTCCTTTTTTCTGCATTTATATTCGAAAATCTTGTTTGCATCATGTTTAATTCATTGAACAAGGCTTGTAATAAAAGGGCACCTTGCAGTAAAACAAATAGGCAAAATAAATGACTAAAGAGGAAAAAGAGTATCTAGGTTTGAATCATTTGAACGACTCACAAGTAGCATAAATTGAGGTATGCAGATTTATAGTATTTGCCTTGGCAGGGCATTTGGTTATACACAGAGAACTGTATTAATAAAGATAAGGGAGCAAATGTTATAATCCAGTGAATTTACACATTTTTGAAGTTTAAAATGGCATGTGATTCTATTAAAGTCCTGGCTGAAAAAGAAATAATACAAACAGGATTATGATACATAGCTTTCTCTAGTTCTTTTGTATAAAACACTATCTGCCTCATAGTCAGATGGAGCAATACCAATAAAAGGATACTTTAGTATCAAAATTGGACAGAAGCTGTAGGAGCAAACAGGCAAAGTTGATCCTTTAATACGGTTTTCAACTCATCACTTTAAAAGCAACCTAAATTTCAAACTTAAATCATTTTTATTTAATCATCAAACTAAGATGTTAATCGTCAAACTAACAAGGAGAATCCATGGCACTTAGTGCCGGTTCACATATATGTGGATTCAGGGGCGGACTGACCATTCGGGTACTTGGGCACTGCCCGAGGGCCTGGGGTCAGTAGGGGGCCCCATGAGATGCCCATGGTACCTTTCAAAGGCTTTTTTGGGTGTGGTTTGAGTGTGGGTGAGGACACAGGGGCCCCATGATCCCCTATTGCCCGGGGGCCCCATGAGTTGTCATTTCACCCCTGTGCAGATTGGATGCGGTTTGAACTGCACCCAATTCACATGACATGTGAAAAAACATTGCTTCCTATGGTGCCTGTTTTCAAATGTCCGGTGCACTGGCAGCGCTGATTCAGTGTGGTTTGAAAAAGAGTCCTGTACGATTTCTGAGCAGTGCTGTCCAGTTCAGGTGCAGATTACAAGCTATTAACTTCTATGGGAACCATTTCTAAACCGCATATGTTTGAACAACATAATCCTGAGAGCTAATCCTGTCCTGAATCTAATGGAAACCTGACATGAACCGGTGAACAACTACTGAATCAATTAGCTGTGAAACCTGAGCTTCAATCTGCACCGCACATGTGTGAATTAGCTCTAAAAGCCACAGCAGCCATAAAACCAGCAGAACCCCATTTACTGTGAAAAGCCCAGAATACAGTGGTCTTGCAAATCATGCAAATGTTTGGGTCACATGACTAGGAAGCTGCTTAGATAAGTTCTCTAAGTTTTTTCCTAGCCCTACCAAGTCTACCTCTACCTACCTCATCTTATGATGCAGTGCTCAGTTTCTGCGCAGTCTATTGCACTTTCACATGGGAGATGAGGGAGTAGGAAGCAAGCTGGGATGGGCTGCTTGATAGCTGGGAACCCATTAACAGTGTGGGTCCCTGGATGGGCTCGGATCAGCACCTAGAGCTGCACTCTAAAAGGTTCAGCGAAGGTCACAGTCAGTCCATACCAGCTATATTTATTTGTGCAGCATTATTTAAAACACTAAAAAAGTTTCTCACTGCAAATCTCATTTTATCTCCAGCACTGCTCCCCACAGACTCATTGCTCCGAAATCCAGCATTATTCCTCTTCCAGGTTAAATGACATCCATGACCATCCTCCCATTTTTGTATACATCATTTGAAAAAAAACTGGGTGGGGTGTAAGGAGAGCTTTAGAAAATGCAATTGGGCTTTATTGCCAACCCACCACAGTACTTTTACTGCTGTGGGGCAGCAGCTACAGGCACGCGATGTACTGGTATGTCGCTGCCTGTTTCCGTATTGGGGGTTTTGGGGCCCGCCTACTCCCCTATAATTTGACACAGTGGGAGCTCATCAACAGACCCCAGCCAATGATTCATGGCTGGGACCTGCTTATCAGCTGTGTCAAATCACAGCCTAGTGCTCTCTGTGTTAGTAAACAACACAGAGCTCTAAGCAGAGGAACTTATCGCTTTGTTTCTTTTCCCTGCTAAGTAGGGAAAATAAATAAATCGATCTGTAGCACAAACTAGCATGCATTAAACACATTAACACTTGCTAGGCATACAATTAACTCCTTGATTGCATTGAGTGGCAGTGTATATATTTAGCACTGATCACTGTATTGGATTCACTGGTGATGACAGTGTCTGTTAGTCAGTGCCCAAAAAGTGTCAGATTGCCAGCCACACTATTACAGACCTGCTAGAAGTCGATGATCACCGCCATTACTAGTTTAAAAAAAAATGTAAAAAAATTCCTGTATGTATCCCATACTTTGGAGACGCTAAAACTTTCACACAAATTAATTAATATACACTTATTGGGATTTTGCCAAAAATTTGTAGCAGAACAGATTTTGACCTACATTTTCGAAGATTATATTTGTTTATTGAATGTGCTGTATAGAAGAAAGTAAAAAAAAAAAAAAAAACGTTTTTACCAAAATAAATGGTCTTTTTTTGTTTGTATAATAAAAAAAGAAAGAACCCAATGGTGATCAAATACCACCAAACGAAAGCTCTATTTGTGGGAAAAAAATAATGGACTGGTCATGAAGGAGGTAAAATCTTACCAAGCTTAAAAGGTTAAAGTAGGACTGCAATCACCAAATCAAGTTTAGGAAGTTTAAGAACATTCCCATTCAAACAAATTTGTTATACCTAATTGTGTCCAATTTAACTCACCTTCCTGAAGACTAGTGTCATATTTGTCTTCACTTCACAGGAAGCATCAACAACACTGTATTCTGGCATCACATATTTGAATGTTTAATTGATTTTTTAAGTTTTACATTTAGTTTAATCTAAAGGCAGCAGCAACTTTTTGCTTGTAGTTTTAATTACAACATCTGTTTTTATATCCAGTGATAATAGACCTGATTTGACCAGTGGACATTGTAGCCACAACTGATCTAAAACCTATAGCAAAGTTAGAAAAACTAAATCTAATGCCTTCAACTTCTTAGAAATTGGCCAAGGGCGCAAGAGTTGAATAGTATACTTTGTGAGCTACACTTTGCCTTCAAATTTTAATAAAATGTGGAAGTAGAGTGCACAAAAAAACCCTTAAAAACCACAACCCCGCATTCCATGAACCCACTTCCATCCTGATATCCCTACATTTTTGCAAAATATTCAAAACATAAACTTTGGCTGTGTGTTTGGTAGACACTTGCTAGCATCAGGACAGTGTGTTGGAGCACTATTCCAAATTGTTTCCAACATACAGAAAGCTTGATAGAAAAAATTGCCATTTTGTTTTCTCACAGCCACCAACCATATTCAAGCCTGCCTTGAATGGATGAGTGGGATTGGTAACACAAGAAGAAGAGATAGAAAGCCATGCACCATAAGCTTCAGGAAATACATACACTTCCAATTACATTTTCTCAGCATTCAGACTTCACACAATCCAGGATAAGATGAAACTAGTTACCTTTCTGAATTTAGCACAGTTTTAGTCTTTGCTAGAAAGGTTTTATAGATTCCTCTTTCATTTTACTTGTTTCCTGGAATTGTTCTTTAAATTATATTCACTAGGGAGGGCAGCAAGTGCACATTAGAAAACAGTTATAGAGAACTGAAAAGTGGTAACAAAACTAGGGTATACAAGGCACTAAGCAAAAAAAAACAGTGAAAAAGAATTCACAAGGAAAAAGCGGTTACATTATGGACAGAAAGCGATACCCAGAAAGTCATCAAAAATTATGCTTTATTGCAAAAATTGCACATACTTAGACACTTAGGTAAAGACCGCTGTTAGCCATCATCACAAAATGGGACAATACAGAAAGAACCAACCTAAAACAAAAAATAATAATAAAAGAAGGACGTCATGGCCGGCCATGTATGTAGTTACCGGTATGCTGTAAAGACAACAACACTAGGTCTTTTGAATAAACAGCACAGGCACATGGGGAATACCACCATGTGGGGATATATACGATAAATATTGATATGTAATATATTAGACTGTGCATCAATAATGTAAAAACATTACACTTGTGCCAATGAGATATATGGACTGAGGAGCCCAACTAGACAATGCTAGAGATCTGTTAGAAATTCAAACTCTAGGCATGAATCAAACAAAAATGCACACAGTACATAAATATTACCTGAACTGCTGGTATATGTGCCAATTGAAAATATCGAGACTCATAATGTCATTGCTCAAGGACACAGTCATCAGGTAACTACAATATGCCTTAATGAAGGGCTTCCAGGTTAAGGTGAACATAGAACTTAAACGAGACTTAGTATCAAGAGTGAATCCTCCATGAGACATCCACCATCTGAAGTTGGAATGGTAGGGCCTTGCGAATGATGATATACAGTTGTGTTCAAAATAATTGCAGTCAGACATCACTAACCTGATCAATCACTGTTTTTGGTAGAAATTATATTTCTACATGGCAAATAATTTACTAGCAGGTGTAGTAGAGTAATAGAAATCCAACAGACCCAACAGTCATGACATGCATGCTGCTGATTCTGTGTAATTGAATCACTAATTGAAAGGGGCATGTTCAAAATAATAGCAGTGTGGAGTTCTATTAGTGAGGTCATT